TCACCTCAGCCCTGGTACTGGCCCACCCTGATCCATCACTACCGTTCATAGTGGAGGTGGATGCGTCCAAGGTAGGGATAGGCGCGGTCCTATCTCAACGCTCGGGCACGCCACCAAAGCTCCGCCCCTGTGCCTTCTTCTCCAAGAAGCTCAGCCCGGCGGAGCAGAACTACGACGTTGGTGATTGGGAGCTGTTGGCTGTTGTCCGAGCCCTGACCATGTGGAGGCACTGGCTCGAAGGGGCGAAACACCCTTTCCTCGTATGGACGGACCACCGTAACCTGGAGTACATCCGTGCAGCGAGGAGGCTGAACCCTCGCAAGGCCAGGTTGGCCCTATTCTTCACCCGGTTTGATTTTACACTATCATACATCCCGGGTACGAAGAACGTGAAGGCAGTCGCACTGTCACGGCTGTACGACACAGAGGAAAGGCCCAGAGACAACACCCCCATACTACCGGCCTCCTGTATTGTGGCGCCGGTAGTATGGACGCGGATATAGAGCAGGCATTACGCACAGAGCCATCTCCACCTCAGTGTCCAGCTGGGCTGCGGTACGTGCCTGCTCTTGTCCGTGACCGTCTGATCTATTGGGCACACACGTCCCCCTCCTCTGGTCACCCAGGTATCGGTCGTACAGTGCGCTGCCTGACCGGAAAGTACTGGTGGCCTACCTTGGCTAAGGACATAAGGGTGTATGTTTCATTTACATTTACATTTAAGTCATTAGCAGTGTTTCCTCCTGCTCGGTGTGTGCCCAGAGTAAGGCACCTAGGCACCTCCCAGCGGGTAAGTTACAGCCTTTACCAGTTCCACAACGGCCACAATGTTCTCACCTGAGTATTGATTTCCTTACTGATCTTCCCCTCTCTGAAGGTAACACCACCATCCTGGTCGTTGTGGACTGACTTCAGAGACACCACTCAACTTTTAATTTTTGTTGAAGGAATAAATGAGAACTTTGAAATAACAGAGGAACTTCTTGCGATGGAATCAATGATGGGAACAACCAGTGGCTCTGACTTATATGACAGGGTGTCTGCCTGCTTGGAGAAAATGAATCTACCGTGGAGGAAACTGACAAACGTCACAACAGATGGATCACCAAATCTAACCTGTAAAAACATTGGCCTACTTAAAAGATTACAAGACAAAGTAAAAGAAGAAAGCCCTAACCCGGAGGAATTTATATTTCTTCACTGTATTATTCATCAGGAAGCCCTGTGTCAAAGTGTGTTAAAGCTGGAAAAGTTGTCAAAGTGGTTGTAAAACTTGTCAACTTTATACGGGCAAGGGGGCTTAACCATCGTCAGTTCATTCAGCTGCTCAATGACACGGAGGCAGAGCACCAGGACTTGTTGTAGCATTCAAATGTGCCTGGGAAAAGTATTTCGCCGTGTGTGGGAACTAAGAGGGGAGATGGGTATGTTCCTTGACACGGTTGGTAAAGCTGACGACTTCTCAGAGTTGAAAGACACAGACTGGCTGGGCGACTTTGCTTTCGGTGTGGACATATTGGGGACATCTGAACGATCTAAATGTGAAACTGCAGGGAAATTGTGTTTTTGTGCATGAACTGTATTCCAAGGCCAAACTTATGTTGTTCTCCAGACAAATGAGCAGCCGGTCTCTCGCTCATTTTCCGACACTGGCCGCACTGAACGCGCCCACATCGCAGTGCCGCACTGAGACATACAGTAGCACTTTGATTGACCTGCATGCTGAGTTTTTCCCACCACTTCTCAGACTTCACCAAGATTGAGACTGAGCTGGAGCTTGTATCATGCCCCCTGTCTTTCGACAGTGAGAAAGCACCACCAGACACACAATTGGAGCTCATCGACATCCAATGTGACATTGCTTTTACATTTACATTTACGTCATTTAGCAGACGCTCTTATCCAGAGCGACTTACAAATTGGCTTTGAAGGAGAAGTACAAAACAGCAACAATAGACCAGTTCTATGGCTCACTGAATGAAACAAAGTTTCCAAACATTAAAAAGCACGCCCAAAGGATGCTTGTTTTATTCGGGTCCACATATGTGTGTGAACAAACGTTCTCAGTCATGAATTACAACAAATCCCATCACAGGTCAAATTTAACAAATTACCACTTGTCAGCTGTTCTGAGAATCTCTACATCAAAGATGACACCAGACTTTAATGCCCTTGCCAAGAGAGGTGACCAGACCCATTGTTCACATTAAGACACGAATAACTGTGACTGGGGTAGGCAAGGATTACACCTTTTCATGGTGATGTTATGCAGTGATAATTATCCAACAATGCACTTGGATACAGGTAATAATTAATCAGTCAAATTTGGGCTGAGGTGATTGGATAACTGTAAATATGGCTCACAATGGAGATGAGAATTGTTCCTTAATATGCTTTCAAAAAAAGACCACCCAAATGAAACAGATGCTCTAACCACATGTTTCACTCAAATGTTAGATTATTATTTTTATTTTTTTACACATCTGCTGTTACATTTTGCATGTCTCCAGTCATATAATATATATTTTTAAGTTTGCATATTGTGACTGTCCGTTTGATTGTACTTTAAAAGGGTAGAGATGCAGGATCTGTGTGTTTGACGGTGTCTGTGATATTCTAAATTATATCAATTTTGTAAAAATGAAAATCTAAAATAAACAAGGGTAGAATTGTTCTGCAAGCCTAAGTACACCTACAGTACACTAGTAGTTGCGTGTCAATGTGAAAATGAATAAAGGCTTCACATGTTTTGTCACGCATATAGTATGTGGCCCTTCACTTGGTTTCAAAATCTCAACGTGGCCCTTGAGCCAAAAGGTTTGCCCACCCCTGGTCTAGGGGGTAGTCTGATTGAAATGTGATGAAGCTTCATCCAGGTCAATGTTTTCTACCCCACAGATAACAGATTCCCCAAACAGGTTAAACACCTAAATCAACTGGATACTACCCAAGTCTTCCCCCAAACAAAAGTCATTTTCTCACCTCAAAGGTAAAAATAAAGGTTAAATGAATAAAATGCTACATTTACCAGAACGGATGCCCCTGTAATCAGCCATTCCCATAGTAATGCTAGCATTTACCAATAAACTATGCCCATGACAATTTGGAAGCTTTAAAACATAAAATACTGATTGATTTTTGTTAGTTTTAGAAAATCATTGATGACAGTTCAAAGTTCTACCAAAAACTGCAGCCGAAAGTAGAGCAAATCCCTCCTCTTACTTTGTGACGTACAGGGAGCTAAAGCTGAGGCTGGGGGAGTGAAAACAGCAGCTCCAACACCACAGAAGAAGATCTAACGAGAGAAAGCAGCAGCTTCAACACCACAGAAGAAGTTCTAATGAGAGAAAGCAGCAGCTCCAACACCACAGAAGAAGATCTAACGAGAGAAAGCAGCAGCTTCAACACCACAGAAGAAGTTCTAATGAGAGAAAGCAGCTGCTCCAACACCACAGAAGAAGATCTAATGTCACACACAGTGGAGGGACAGCTGAAACTGGAAGGGATGTTTTTGAAGTGGGTGTCCTCCATGCATTTCAAATAATAAACACAAAAAATATTTGTCAAATTAAAAGCAAAAAAGAAGGTACACTTGCTGAATGGATGTTGATTATTTTCACAATATTAACAAATGTACAAGTGTTTTGTGCCCATACAAATTACTGTTCAGAAAAACAAGTAATGGAAAATGTATCGGGTAATTTAAATATAATTTACAAGCAATCAGCAAACCGGTTTGGTTAGAAGGCACAAGTAAAGACTGTTCATATCACATTTTATTTTTTGTAGCACAATTAACAGTAAAAAGTGACATGGTCTTGATCTAGGATGTTGCAAAACAACTTGGCTAAATAACAGGTGAATCAAGATCCCAGATCCCAGTAACTTTGGCTGAATACAGTCAACTCCTGATAAATCCACATTGGATTAGTCAAAATTAAAGTGGAAGTGCATTGCAGTTCATTTTATCCACGGCGGTGTGGATATTTTCACGCTCCAGTTCTGGTGTGTGGCATCCATGACACTTCATCTGAGTACAGTGGATGGATCATTTATGATATTGCACATTTTCAATGGTACACTTTCAAACTCAGCTCCCAGATTAGTGCAGGCTGCGAGATGCGACTGACATTTTACGGGTGGGTAGAGAGCGAGAGTGGGGGGTGGACATGGAGGGCGCATGGCTTGAAGCACTGAACATCATGATGTGAATTGGACTGTGTTTAGGCTATTACTAGCATCAGAACTTCACTGAATTACATAATTATATACTAGACATTAGGAATACTTTTGGAACTTAAAATAACATTATATAAACCTGTTCTCAAGATTTGTAAATAACGGTTCTGTTCCAGAAGACTAGAGATCACTTCTGTTCCCAGTTCAGTTACGGTTTCTTGAAATAAATGTTGGTTCTGTTTTGGTTCTGTTCCCTGAACTGGTTCGAACCCCTGATTTAAGACACTATATGTCTCTTCTGTTTCCACTCTGGAAAAACAAGATGCAAAACAAGTATAATTTGGTTAGTTATTACTATGATAGTCTGAGAAATACTTAATCCAAATGGACAGGATGTTTTGGATTGATAGGGGTGCACACACTCAAAATGTTTACATTTAAATAATTTAGCAGATGCTCTTAGAGTTAAGTGCCTTGCTCAAGGGCAAATCGACAAAATGTTTTTTTCTTCCACCTAGTCTGCTCAGCGATTCAAACCAACGACCTTAGTCACCTAGTCGTCTCGTGGATTTGAACAATCAACTTTTCGGTTACTGGCCTAGCGCTCTTAAACGCTAGACTACCTGCCACCACTCTCTCTAACTCACTCATACTCACACAAACACTAAAAAATAATTCACACACACACTAAACAATAATTTACTGATGCAATTCCTAAAATGAATCTGAGTTTTTTTCTTTTTCTCACTACTATTAATAAGAAAACAGCTCCAGCTAATATCATGAGAACTGTCATGGATGCCACAACACCAATTATGCCTCTAGCTGTTGAATGGGATAGTTGTGGTCCACACGCTGAATCCGACCAAGGAAATCCTGGTTTCATTTCCTGAAGTCCCAAGGATTCACATCTATAAACAGATAAATACTGGCCATTAATGATTCCTTTATAACTTGGTCATACATCTTTCAGTTTTAGATTTGTGTTAGGTAACTTTGTATTTAGGGGGGAAACTATTTGTGTAAGCCACACTTACCCAGTGTGTGACTGGCAGGCTGTAAATGATCCATCTGAATAAGTATCACCAGTACAGTAAGAACAAACAGTATCTGTAGATGTTGTTCCTGCATAAATGGAGGTTTAAACATAAATAAAAAACGATTAGTTACCGGAGTGTAACTCCAGTTCTATGAGTGGAGCGGAGCCCCATAGGGGAGCTCTGCTCCTAGTGGTTTACCCTCTGCCCTATGGCAGCAGCAGCCTGAGACAAAATTATGCACACACCTACAGCCAATAGGAGTACAGGTGTCCCTATAAGAGGGGCTGCCTCCCCTCAATCAGCCTCCCGAGATATTTATCTTCAGCGAGACTAGAGAGGGTCGGCAGGGCCTTAAGTCCTATGGGGCTCCGCTCCACTCATAGAACTGGAGTTACACTCCGGTAACTAATCGTTCTATATCGTGGAGCTCCGCCCCATAGGGGAGCTCTGCTCCTAGTGGTTTAAGGCGGAGCGTAGCGCTCCAAAATGTACTCCCTGCCGAGCCTAACACTTCCCATCGAAACGAGAAAGTCAGGCCTAGCAATGGCTGCAACCGAGTCCCGCAGTACTGCAACTAAAAACCCCTACGGGCGTCACAATATACCGCGTCATCGGTTAAAGACCTGCCCCACCTAGTCCAATGGCAATGCCAATGACTAGTGGGCAGATCACCAGAATAGAAGCCATACTAATCTGTACTAGCAGATAGATGTGCCTCAATATCCTGTGAAAACACTACCGACCATTAATGGAATGACACCAAGTGTCACTCTACATTGTAAACGCGGTAGACCGCCTCACTCACTCAATGGAATCCCAGAGATTAGTGGGCAGGAACAAAAACATGAGTCATACTAACTGAACAAGCAGATAGATGACCTCACATTCTGTTAATCAACGCATGCCTCTACTGTACTGACCCTGTCAGTCAGGATTCATGCCACAAAATATGTTTTCCTATCCAAAGCGGACCTGATGGAAACCCTGTCCATAGTCCTGCTTTTCCCTCTCTTCCTAGCTCAAGATCTCCCTTCAGCTATGCTGAGTACAGACCGAGCCAAAGAGTTAGAAAACACATCTGTCAAAAAACACGTCTTCCTAACCAAAGCGGACCTGATGGAAACCTGTGTCCACAGTCCTGCTTCTCCTCTCTTTCTTGCTCAAGATCTCCCTTCAGCCACGCTGAGTACAGATCGAGCCAGAGAATTAGAAGACATATCTAAGAGATAGAAACGGATAAATGGAGACGGCGTCGACCAGGATGCTGCTCTACAGATATCCTCTACTCCTGTTCCTCTGAAAAGGGCAGTAGAAGCCGCTACTCCACGAGTGGAGTGAGCTCTGATACCCTGAGGCAATTGCCGCCCCGCTGCCTCATAAGCTGTCTCAATGCCTTCACAAAGCCAATGAGACAACCTCTGTTTTGAAAGTGGTCTACCTAGTGCAGCCGCACCGTGACACACAAACAACTGAGGCGATGACCTAATCGCTGCTGTGCGCTCGACGTAACACGCCAAAGCGCTTACCGGGCACAGGCGATGGAGCTTTTCCTCACTCCTCTCTCTATGAGGAGGATGAGAAAAAGCCCACAGCTCCACGGTCTGTGACCTATATGAACTCTTAATAACCTTCGGCACAAATGCCGGGTTAGGATGTAACACTGCTCTGCTCAGGTCACCATTGATGGCCAAGCAGTCAGGTCTCGTCGAAAGAGCACACAAATCACTGACCCGCTTAGCTGTAGTCAAAGCGAGCAACAGTGCTGTCTTTATAGACAGCAACATGAGGGGTATTTGATTCAATGGCTCGAACGGCGACTTACATAGCGCTTCGAGTACCAAAGCCAAATCCCACTGAGGAAGCGTGACTCTAGGTGTTGGCCTAAGTCGCCGCGTTCCTAATAGGAAGTGTTTCACTAGAGGGTGGCTAAAGACATTGTCTCTGCCAAAACCCTCATGACAAGCTGAAATCGCTGCTGCAAACACTCTAATCGTGGCAGGCGATTTTTGCTTATCAAACATGAGCTGTAGAAAAGAGAGAATACTCTCCACCTGACAGCTCATGGGGTCTACACCTTGTGTGACACACCATCGTGAAAACACGTTCCATCTACTGGCATACATCTTAGAAGTGGAACTGGCACGTGAACCCTGTATGGTCCTGATCACTGCATCAGATAACCCACGGCGCTCTAGCCTGTCCCTCTCAGCAGCCAGGCCTTCAGTGGTTGGCCGATTATGGGCAATTTCCCTATCGTGCCAGCCGCCTGAGACAACGTGTCCCGTCGATGTGGAATTGGCCAAGGTGGCGCAATCAACATCTGACTAATCTCCGCAAACCACGGAGCCCCCGGGCGATCGTGCGCTATCAGTATCACTGACAGCCCCTCTGACCTCACCCTGGCTAGCAGTGGGAGAATGCAGGACAGCGGAGGGAATGCATACAGGAGAACTCTCGGCCACGGTTGGTGCGCAAAGGCGTCCCTTCCCAGTGGCGGTTCGTCCTGTTCCCTCAGAGAGAACCACAGAGGACATTGCGCGTTCACGCGTGACGCGAATAGGTCCACCTCGGCTCTCCCGAATTGTTCCCAAATCTGGAGAACAATGCCTGGATGCAGACACCACTCGTCGTCTCGAGGACCCCCTCTTGACATGAGGTCTGCTCCTACGTTCAAGTAGCCCGGAATGTGTGCTGCTCTCAATGAGCGAAGGTGCTCGTGAACCCACAGCCACAATTCCTCTGCCGCCCGATGGAGAGCAGGAGACCTGACTCCTCCCTGGCGATTTATGTGGGCTACTGTGGCCCGGTTGTCTGACCAGACCAGCACATCGCGACCCCGAAGGGTAGACGCGAAGTGGGTCAGAACCAGTCGAACCGTTTCCAACTCCAGGAGGTTGATGTGACGACCTGATTGAGGCCACACACCTCCTATCGCTTGTGTCTGACATGTCCCTCCCCATCCCGTCAGGGACGCATCCGTGAATACTGGGATGTGAGAGGACACCTTTCCTATCGGGACTCCGTGCGTGAGAACGCGCGAGTTTCTCCAATAGTTTAGGTCTGCACTGAGCGAGAGGGGAACCACCACCAACCGATGACGTTGACGCAATGGGTCTAGTCTTAGTTGGGCGAACCATCGCTGCATCCTGCGCATATGCAGGAGTCCCAGCGGAACCACAGAGTGGGCTGACGACATGAGACCCAAAAGTGACATGATCGACAGCGCCATCACCGTGTGATTCGGACGACACTTCCTTAGGGCTAGCAACAAGGCTACCCTTCGGGGGTCCGAGATTCGGGCCCTCATCCTCACAGTGTCTAGCTGTATCCCCAGGTAGACAATCTGATGAGTGGGCCAGGGCGCGCTCTTTTTCCAATTCACAGCAAACCCCAGACTTGTGAGATGCATCACTGTCTGTGTTGTGTGGGTAATCGCCAGCTCTGCTGACGGGGCGAGAACCAGTAGGTCGTCCAGGTAGGCTAGTAGCCGTATTCCCTGACGACGCAACGGTTCCAATGCCACCTCCACCCAAATGGCATCCTCGTGTATTCGTACGCCACCCCTTGAAAGGCGAACCGCAGAAACTTCCTGTGACGCGGCTGAACCGGCACATGAAAGTACGCGTCCTTTAGGTCTATGCTCGCACAAAAGTCCCCTCTCTGGACACATTCCAGCAGACGTTTTGTCGTTAGCAGTCGGAAGGGCCGCTTGGTTATGCTCTCGTTGAGAATGCGTAAATCCAAAATCGGCCTCACTCCCCCCGTCTTTTTGGGCACTAGGAAATAAGGCGAATATAGCCCTTTGTTCCTTTGCTCCCGGGGAACTACTGTCACCGCCTCCTTCGCCAAAAGTTCTGTAATCTCTGTCATCAGAGCGGCCACTTTGTCTGGCGTTTTCATCACCGTCTCCACCACTCCCCTGAACGGGGGTGGGGTTCGGTGGAATTGGAGAGCATAACCCTTCTGCAACGTCTGTTCTAGCCAGTGTGAGAGGGTGCAGCTGTGGTGCATCCAGTAGGAAGGACCTGTATTCCTCTATGGCCCTTACCGCCACTGTTCCCCAACATTGAAGTGGTGGAACAGCCCAAGGTGGGCCTCCCGTGAAAGGGAGAGGAACTATCGATGCGTTCTGAGAAAGAAAGAGGAGTAGGGACGTCGGTTAAACCCGTAACCGTCGTATTCCTGCCCTCCTTGAACGCATCGCTGGTCTGAATTGCGCTGACCGAGGCCACAGCCTGCGGCAGAGCACCATCCCCAGCAAGCGATTGCGTCATCTTAGGTGACTGCAATTCGCTATCAGAGCCCTTCACTACAGTACTCCTAGAAGTCTGTAGTATGAGGTCTCTATGAGGTAAAACAAGGCGGCGCCTTGATACCTTCTTGACTTTCACCTTCTGTGTGTGTTCAACACTGCACCCCTGGTGGGTTGATTCACGCTCAGTGTGGTGAGTACTGGCTCGTTCTGTCAGGGGAGCTGATACTTTGGTTATACCCATAACGCTAGTAATCCTGCCCTCCTTGAACGTAGCATGGGTCTGAATCGCATTAACCGAGACCTTGGTCTGCGATAATGCGCCGTCCCCAGATAGCTGCTGTGTTACAATGCCTGGGGGCGCCGATACTCTGGGCACCTTGGTGACCGCGGTAATCGGGCCCTCCGTGAACGCAGCATGGGTCTGGCTCGTACTAGTGGAGACCTTAGTCTGTGCTAGTGCGCCATCCCCAAATAGCGGCTGCGTCCTCATGTCAGAATCTGACCGGGACTGCTGCCTTCTATGTAAAGCAATTCTTATACGTGAAGTGTGATGTGACGACCTGATTGAGGTCTTCTGGATACATACTCTTAGTGCCTGTTCAGCAACGCACCCTCGGTGGGCTGAACGGCTCTTAGAGTGGTAAGGAAGAGAGGGTGAGATTTGAACGCTCTCGGACGTATTATGGAAAAGAGGCTCTTTTTTGACAAAGTCAGGTGGAGCCAACTCTTTATTAAACACATCAACAAAGGCATTAACATCAACACCCATCCCTTCAACCGAAGGGTGGGGGGGAACAGTGGGCACGTTCGACACCATCGATGCGTCCTCCATCCTCTCCCCCGCGTCCCGTCACGTACGCCTCCTCTTGCCTCCCTTGGAGGGCCAGGTCGGCGTCCTCGTCACCTCCCTCGCCGGCTGTAGTGGGGCTACCGTAGCTGCTGGGAGGGCCGGGCCCATTCCCTTGCTGCTCGTGGCCGCCGGATGACGCCGATTACGCCGCCTCGTCGTAGACCCCGGTCTACTTAGAGGGGCGGAGGTAGATGGCCTTTGGGGAGGAGGGGGGCCGAGTCGTCCTGCCAACGGCAGGTGCTTGGCCAACTGCTTCTTCTCCATCCTCTAACTTAGAGAAACGCTCCGTCGCCTCTTTGACTGCGACCCCAAAGAGGCCATCGTCAGAGAGTGGGGCGTTCAAGAGAGACGTCCTGTCTGCCTCTTTCATGGATGTCAATGACAACCAGAGGTGTCGTTCACCGACCACCGAAGTGGCCATGGATCTCCCCGCGCAGACTGCGGACGCCTGTGTCAGGTGGAGTATGGCGGCAGAAATTCTGGACGCCTCCTCCACCTCCTCCGGTGCCATCTCTGTCTTACCCGTGGTTAAACGGGACAGAGAGGCCGCCAAAAGGGCAATGTTGTTAGCTGCTGCTACAGCTTGGGCTCCCAACCCAAAATACTTCTCTAACAGCTGTGCTGTGAGTCGGTCCTTCTGGGATGGCAACGTGGCCTTCTTGGAAGAGGGCCAAGGGCTCGAACCCGGTACGAGATACGCCGCCATGGCGCTCTCTAACCTGGGGATTCCCTGACCCTGAAACCTTCCTTCCACTCTCGTGAATGGGAGATACGCTTTTACAGGCGAACGCGCCGCTAAAGGTGCCTCCCACGAGCCCTCAACGTACCTAGCCAAAGAAGGCATGGCAGGAGCCACTGGCTCCGCCGCCTTCCTTGGCCTGGAATAAGGACCGCCCTCCATCATATCAACCTCCGGTGCGGAGGGAAGAGGGGGCAGCCTTATTACCAGCCGTTGAGCAGCTCTCTCAATGATACCCGGAAAGTCCGATCTCAGAGAGGCTGCAGCGAAAGAGAGAGCTTCTGATCTCTCAGAGCTCGTATCCCCTTCGCTATAGGGACTACAAGCCCTCTCGCTCTCCAAAGGAAAGGGGGGCTTGAAAGTATGAGGGACGGGGTCCGACTGTTCCATTGGAATGCCAGACCCTTCCTCAAAGTCCCTATCTTCCCCCGAGTCTGCGCCGTCGGACGACGCCTCTGAAGCAGAGGCTAGTATCGACAGCACATCCTCAAGGGGGATGTCCTCCCTGAAAAACGCCCAACGCTGCTTCCTCTCCTTTAAAGAAAGGAGGGCGCAGGAGGCGCAATTCGGGGGACTGCAGACGCCTTCCTTGGCATGCTGGGATCCCAAACACACGAAACATAGGTCGTGGTGGTCACTGGCCGCCATGGAAGTGCATCTGCACTGAGCTCTGAAAATAGCTTATGGGGGTGGAAAATCTCCCGGTGTGCTCATTTAGACGACGTTGATGACTGGAATATCAACAACGTTTTCGTCCTGAGTCTTCGTGCTTCGTCTCTTCTTGGCTCTTCAGTCTAGTCATCCAGTCGCTGAAGAAAAAGGGAGGCTGATTGAGGGGAGGCATCCCCTCTTATAGGGACACCTGTACTCCTATTGGCTGTAGGTGTGTGCATAATTTTGTCTCAGGCTGCTGTTGCCGTAGGGCAGAGGGTAAACCACTAGGAGCAGAGCTCCCCTATGGGGCGGAGCTCCACGATATAGAACTAGACTTCCCAAAACAAACTTGTAAACATTGTACTTAAACTTTCCCCATGTACTCATCTTGACTTAATTTTAATTGTCCAATAATTTCAATCAATCAATCAAACGATCAGCTACTTTTAATTCAGTAGAGTAACTTGGCACACTAGAAATCATGACAAAATCATGTTCAATACTTGAGAGGAGACCAACCTGTGTGGCTGATGTATTGACCAGGTTTACAGCTGCTGTGTCTCTGGGCTGCTCTACAACCATCCTTAGTTGGGTCTAGACAGTAGAACCCCTCCAGTGTCCCACAGACAGTGTCTGATGAAGGTCTACATGGCTGCTTTACCTTCAAACCCAAACCTATGGAGAAAACATGTCACTTGGTATCTGAAGCTAAATGTAAAACCTGTTGTATTTAATTAAAACAACAGCTGATATTAAAGTAGCTCAGTGTTTACACCCAGAACACAGAATTCTCACCTGGATCACATGTGGTACAGTTGTTGCATGTTGTTTTCCCACTGGGCTCATCAAGGAATGTGGAGTCAATACAGGGCACACAGGAAGGTGTACGTGTAGATTTAGTACAATGACTATATACACGATATCCTGTTGAAAAGAAAACCAGAAAATAATTACGTTTTGTTATTATTATTATCATAATTATTATTATTGTTACATTTTACATTTTTTGTATAGTTATTATTATAATTAACCCCTCATAAAAATACACAAGGTCCTTACCAGGCCAACACATTATGCAATCTCTATCGCCTAATTTATAGATGGGGCGATCATATGTGAAACAGGGTTCAATGTTTAGAAGTATAGAAGTTATATGTTGGTGTTGATGATGTATTAATGTCTGGTGATTCATATGATGTAAAGAGACGGTCCTTACCTGGCCAACACATGGGACAACATTCATCCCCTATTCTGTACTCGGCTCTACCACATGAGATACAGGATCCAATGTTTCCAAGCACCAATATATTAGGTATCTGGAAGTAGAGAACATTTTAGAAATAAAATCGCAAAAATCTAAACTGATGGTGTTTATTCATAAAACCTACAGAAGTAGATAACAGAATTCTAACCTAAATATTCCCATTTCAAATATAATTATTGTAATTATGTGGGACCATTTTAAACAGGCTTTTGTGAGTGTGGTGGCACCCACTGGTGTGCTTATTTTGTCTTTAAAAGGTGTGACAAATGTACTTCTCTCCCCCACATTTTTTCTACGAAGGTTTCAGTAAAATGGACAGAACTAGTAGGCTAATAATAACTGATTTATATTTCATAGAGGAAATATTTAAATAGATAATTGGTTTTAAAACATGCCAAGCCACAATGTGCTAATCAGAAATGTTTAACTTACAGTCCATATCAAGGTTTCAAACTGTGCCATGGTTCCTCAATCCTCTCCAACTCACTGGAAGACCCACACACTGGATTTGTGAAGTTCTTAGGCGTTTTGAAGTATGGAGATGAACTGACCTGTAGAATTAATGTATTTTAGTACATGTCAATATAAACCTTTCAATTTGTAAATTATGATATCTTACTGAATTGAATCACTGAAAAAATAACTAATAAGCTAGTTATCAACTTTGAGAAGTATGAAACAGAATTAGGCATGTAGTTATTAGAGAATGCTGCCATCTTTGACACTTGATACAGCTAAGACTGGAAGTTTTTGTAGCAGGTAAGGAGAGCATTTTCACTAACCCTAACCCCTTTCCTAACCTTAACCTAACTCTCCTAACCTGCTGTGTATACCAGTGACTGAAGGAACATGGTCTTCTTCCTTTTTTAACCAGCTATTTTTAACCGGCTCATATTTGAAACAAATACATGTTAAAACACACTGGAGTCTGGCGATACAACTCACCACTATAACTGGGCCTCTAAGTCTGTTTTCTCCCTGTTGTGCTGTCTGTCTATGCATCTCTGCTGTCACTGTCTCTCTGTCTGTGATTCTCCTTGTTCTCCTCTGCTGTCTCTCTGTCTGTCTGTGATTCTCCTCTGCTGTCTGTCACTCTGTCACTCTGTCGGTCTCTGTTTCTTCTTGTTCTCCTCTGCTGTCTCTCTGTCCTCCCTACCCTTTTGTCAGCTGGCATCACAGCAGTTCTTCTCTGCCACCCTGTCAATGACATCATCTGTATCCAGGACCATAAGGATTTCCTTTTCAGTTGTCATCAGCATAATGCCTCCAAGTGATCGTAGGATAAGGGTGCTCCTGAGTCGATGTTTTATGAATTTGAGAGTAGAGAAGCTCCTCTCACAGGTTACCTGGATGACAGACAGGGTGAGTAGGAACTTGTACCCCAGGCCTATAACATGGTAAGCCTCTGTCAACAAGATGTACCACCATAGAAGTTGATAACAACATACAGAACAGTTCTTACATGTTGAACAACTTTTATTCATCCTCTCCACTTGTTCTTCATCATGTCCATCCGCTGGTATCTCACTCACATTCCTGGTTGTGTCCTTCTCCACTGCTGATGTTTTCACGCTCTCCCACTGACTGGTCAACTCACACTGCAAAGTGCTGACAGATGCTCGGCTGGCAAACTTAAGCAAGAGTTTGCTTAGTTTAGCAAGTGATGTCTGGGGCAATCCATTATATTTTATCTCTGAGAACCTGCTGGGGTCCAGATAAGCAAAGTCTGTGTACAATGTGCCTTGTGTCAGAAAGCGCTGATAGATGCTATCAGTGACTGTATCCATGATGACAAAGTGCACCTTAGTCTTGTAGACCCTCTCTGCATCTCTATCAGTCTCATCCTGAGCCAACTCCCCAGGCATGGGCTTCCCCAGGCATCTCAGCTTACACTTCCTGTTCGGTGTCTTCATCCTGTTCTTGCAGCTTGTCAGTGTCTGTGGCCCTCTTCACAGCACACCAGTGTTTTTCTCCTATAGGAGAGAGACGTCTGTGGCGAGTGTCCAGGCTTTTTCCCTCCACACATTAATTATTGTGTAGGACTCTGGAATTAACACTGCCAGGTTATTTAGTAGAGAACAGCAACACACTTGCTATAACTACTCCTATTGCTATAACTACTCCTATAACTACTCCTATTGCTATAACTACTCCTATTGCTATAACTACTCCTATTGCTCTAACTACTCCTATTGCTCTAACTACTCCTATTGTTATAACTACTCCTATTGCTATAACTACTCCTATTGCTATAACTACTCCTATTGTTATAACTACTCCTATTGCTATAACTACTCCTATTGCTATAACTACTCCTATTGCTATAACTACTCCTATTGCTATAACTACTCCTATTGCTATAACTACTCCTATTGCTATAACTACTCCTATTGCTATAACTACTCCTATTGTTATAACTACTCCTATTGCTATAACTACTCCTATTGCTATAACTACTCCTATTGCTATAACTACTCCTATTGTCTGCCATCACAAGATTCAGGATGTGTGTAACACCACATGTACTTGGTTGGGAGAGTTTGCGGATAGCAAGGCAGAGAAACCAAAGTCCAGTTGTAGTGTTTCAATGACGTCTTTAACTAACTGAACAAAGTACACGATGAATACAAAAGTATGAGGACACCCCTTCAAATTAGTGGATTAGTCTATTTCAGCCACACCCGTTGTTGACAGGTGTATAAAATCAAGCACACAGTCATGCAATCTCCATAGAAAAACATTGGCCGTTGGAATGGCCTTACTGAAGAGGTCAGTGACTTTCAACGTGGCACCATCATAGGATGACACCTTTCCACAAGTCAGTTCGTCAAATTTCTGCCCTGCTAGAGCTGCCCCGGTCAACTGTAAGTGCTGATATTGTGATGTGGAAACGTCTAGGAGCAACAACGGCTCAGCCACAAAGTGGTAGGCCACACAAGCTCACAGAACTGGACCGGCGAGTGCTGAAGCGCATAGCACGTAAAAATAGTCTTTCCTCGGTTGCAACACTCATTACCGAGTTCCAAACTGCCTCTGAAAGCAACGTCAGCACAAGAACTGTTCGTCTGGAGTTTCATGAAATGGGTTCGGACTAGGTGCCTTAGTTCCTGTGAAGGGAAATCTTAACGCTACAGCATACAATGACATTCTAGACGATTCTGTGCTTCCAACTTTGTGGCGACAGTTTGGGGAATGCCCTTTCTTGTTTCAGCATGACAATGCCCCCGTCGAGATTGGTGTGAAAGAACTTGACTGGCCTGCACAGAGCCCTGACCTCAACCCCATCGAACACCTTTGGGATGAATTGGAACGCCGACTGCGAGCCAGGCCTAATTGCCCAACATCAGTGCCTGACCTCACTAATGCTCTTGTGGCTGAATGGTATCAAGTCCCCCACAGCAATGTTCCAACATCTAGTGGAAAGCCTTCCCAGAAGAGTGGAGGCTGTTATAGCAGCAAAAGGGGGAACCAACTCCATATTATCCAGTTTATCCAAATAAAATATTGAAATATTGATCATTTATTTGACCAAGACGCACACAGACAGAAAGACGCATCAATCTCAGATAAAGCATCCGAGCAAGTGAAACAGCGCCCCTCTGTCTCTGTAAGTGTAGACCATGTATCTGATGCTGTCTGGACAAAAGGAGTATGGCATGTCAAACTTTTTCTGTCCAGACAGCATCAGATACATGGGCTTCATATAGTAAAACAGACAGCCGCTGTTTCGCTCACTAGTTTCAGGAAAAGGCGAAGCAAGAGGGCTCACTCTCGCCCAAATCTGTCCTGAATAAGCCCAATGCGTTTCTATGGGCATAATATGCAGACCTAAGCTTGTCACCTGCATTCTCGCCTTTGGGACAACGACGTAGGCATCTCATCATTATATACAGATCTCTGGTTTCAGCCACTTGCGAATTAGAAAAGAAAGTTGGCGGGTGCACTGTTCGGATGCTGGCTTCCCCTAAAGTAAATTGATATTTTGCCAAAATTGTATAGTTACTCCTTTCTAAATAAAATCATTCAAAATACTTTACCAGAGAGCTTGACTTAACCGCAGCTTTTTTTTATTTTTATGCTGTGGGTTGTTTTAAATCACAAGTGCACAGCCCTATGCCTATTTGGGAAGACAGCAAGTTGGGCAGCGAGCGTGGCAATAGGCCTAGCTGATTATTGAGTTTCGGCTGTCAGTGAAAAGCATCTAAAATGTGTGAAGATAATGTGTCTTGAGTATAATTTAAAGTGTTTAGACAAGAAGAAGGGGAGGGTGTGTGGTGAAGATATGGGCGTCTCTCTCCAGAATGCACTCAGCTCTCCAGAATGTGCTCTGCTGTCTCCTGACAATTCTTGAACATTCATTGTTTTATTGTGTGAATTGTTTGCCCTTTGATTATTTATTTTGATCAATTCCCCATTACATATGTAACCAGTAGGCCTAGTAAATGTACCGTTAATCCCTGTCATTTGGTTACATTAATTACTGTTAATGCATGCATTACAATAATTTACCGTTCTCATTCTCGGAGTGGAAACGTTGTTTGCAGAGTTTACAACCTGCTACACTTGTGAGAAACAAGTTTAGGTTTATTTCATAACCATCATTTAGGAGTTTTGTCCATTTTTTTATTGTCTTTTGTTTGGAGTGCTCCATGTGAGCAGTGAGCATGTGTGGTTTCTCTGTGCTGATAACGTTGAGGGAGCAACTGTGGCTGAGCACACCAACCTCCTGAGTTGACATAATGTTGCACTTCACTAGTGATAGCTCAAGTCAAGACCAATAGAAAGGGAAGCAGACAAGCGGAGTAGAGATTAATGCGATTGAAAGAACCTGCATTTTCATCAGGATATTGTCTACTGTTTTTATTTGTTGGCCTTAGGCCTATGTATTTTACTTAGTTGACGATGGAAGTTATAGGCCTACTGCTGAATTGGCCTATAGGCTATCTCTGAGTTCCATGTGCTAATGTCTTTAGACGCCAATGGCGGCTAAAGAAAAAATATATACAGTGGGGAGAACAAGTATTTGATACACTGCCGATTTTGCAGGTTTTCCTTCTTACAAAGCATGTAGAGGTCTGTAATTTTTATCAAAGGTACACTTCAACTGTGAGAGACGGAATCTAAAACAAAAAAACTGAAAATCACAGAAAACAACAAACATAAGAGGATAAAAAACCTAAAATAATAACAATAAAAACTGAACGACTAAAAAGCACCCTAAGAAAAAGCAAAGCTAAAAACGTACGTTTTAAGATCTCTTTTAAATATGTCTACAGTTTTGGCCCCCCTCAGGTTCTCTGGCAGGCTATTCCAGAGGCTGGGTGCATAATAACTATAAACTGACTCTCAATGCCTCTTGGTCCTAGGCTTTGGGATAGTTACAGTGGGGGAAAAAAGTATTTAGTCAGCCACCAATTGTGCAAGTTCTCCCACTTAAAAAGATGAGAGAGGCCTGTAATTTT